CTGTTGCTGTAATGAGCTGTCCTCTGAGAAAAGTGATAGAGAAATATGTTAGCCTTCCAAACTTTGGAAGATATGTGCTCATGTAAGGTGCCACAATATTAATCAGACTACGAAAGGCATGGATCAAGCATATAAGAGTCTTCATCAATGTGCTTGACCAAAACAGACCACGTCAAAAATTTTTAGATGTTGTCTTAATGGAGGACAGTAGAGGGAAGGCAGAAGAGACAAGGGAGGTGAGGAAAGAAAAACGGAAGGAGGAAGAAAAGGAGTGAAGAATGAAAGAGAACAGAATTCAAGGACACCTTTTCTCACATCTCTTTTTCACAGCTTTGAATAGGCATTGAGAAGAAAATATGAAAGAAAAAAGAGCTGACTGTGAGGTCCTGGCCCTGCTTAAGGCTTTCTGTTCTGTCAGTGCCACCAATAGCCTCACAGTCACTTAGATTAAATTGCCAACCAGAATCCAGTGCCTTTGTGTTACTATCAAAATCATCATACTCTCTCACCTCATGTAGAAGCATTTTACACTTGCTTCTGCTGATTCTGTGAGATAATAATGTAATTTCCTATGATTTTCTACAGAGTAGAGGAAGTGGCTAAGGCATGAGTAAGTTTATATAATATAATAATATGTTGAAATGATGTTTTCATATATCTGTGCAGTTCATATGTTTGTTTGTTTAATTTTATGAGTCAGGGCATATGTGGTGTAAATACTTTGGAGACTTGCCTATTCATTTCTCCCCTAAATGGTCACCTAGCCTTAAATTGAAATATATATGACCAGTGACGTTTAATACATTTCCATTTCTAGTCATACCACATCATGTCTACTTCTTGACTCATTGTGTGACCATCATGGGTCCCATGAAATTAACCACTGACACAGACCTTGCATGCTCTAAGGCTCAGTGTGATCAACCAGCTGTAACAATCTATATATACCTTCTTATCAGAGTTTATTTTTGACCATTCTAGACTTAAATCTTATTTGTATGTGATTATTCCTCCTCCTCCCTCTCCTTCTCTTCTCCTTCTCCTTTCTTCTTCTCCTTCTCCTTCTTCTTCTTCCTCTTCTTTTTCCTCCCCATCTTCCTCCTCCTCCTCCTCTTCCTCCTCTTCTTCTTTCTCCTCCTCCTCTTGCTCCTCCTTCTCCTTCTTTTTCTTTGTCCTCCCTTTCCTCCTCCCCCTCCTCTTCCT